CCGCAGCCGATTGAAGTGCGTCCGTACTTTTGGCCTCTTGAAGATCACAAGATGAAGATGGTAATCGGTCTATTAAAGAAAAGGTTCACAGATTACATTTAATTAAGCCTTCTGTTTGAAGTGGCCAGCAGTTCAATGTCATTAAATTCAAGATGGCGGTTAATTCGTGGACTGTATCGAACTGTGACAATCATACAGCTGGCAAGATCAAAATGCATTAAGATGTGTACAACTCAACGATTTACCATCTCTTTAAAGTATTTTATCCGACCAATATATGAATTTTTAGGGGTACTCCATTCAGGTACTCCATATGACTCCATGGAGTAGGGCTCCGCGTTTTGTCATCTCCCGAAGGAAAACGACCTAAGAGAGGTTGAAAGGGGATGTTTTGAACTTGTATTAGACCTCAACAGCTTGGGAAATATGCGGAATTCATTTCTGCACTCCTTCTTTCTAGAAGCAGTTAGAGTCAAACGGAAATACACAAATTACAATCGCTTTCAGGCACAGTGCCGTAATGTCCCTGAACTATTTCAAACAGCAAACATGTTTTAATTGTACTTACAATTCTGTATTCCTTTCCCGAAGTAAACCTTGTATTCATGTTACGATTCTTGCTCTGTTCGCACGTAGAAATTATTAACGAGATAGCGTTCCCTCTGCAGTTTCGAAGTGCGTGTTCTCTTTTATAGAGATATGCACCTAAGGATGTTACATAACTAGACAGGGACTAAAAATAATTTCGTGCAAAACAGGGGAACACTCCAGAGCCTCTTAAGTTGACTGAGAAAGCCATTCACCACCAGAGACAAATAATCAGTCAGTGCTACCGACTGATAGCCATAGAATTCATCATGGTCATATTTCAATATAGATCTATCAGTGTTATTCTCTAACCTACGACGATTCGTTGGCAGAGTTTCTCTTCACTCTCTCACTCGGATTATCAGCTTTCCTAAGCTTATTCCAGCCTATACAGCTCATAACAAAGTTCCATTCATAGGAGTCATAGAAATGACTTAAACCGTCTCTATCTCGGCATTTTGAACAGCGTCTTCAGTTCCAGACCGTAATCGTGGTGTGAGCTGCGGTGGCCGGTACGTAATTAAGTAAAGTGGTCAGGAAATTCTGCACAGATGATTTCTCAGTAACCTGGTATTTAATCCTAACTTCGAGTTGCATCCTTTAGAACAATATCATTCCGAATCTGAACACTGATGAATTCCCTGTTTACTCATATTTACAAACGATTACTTTCAATAAACAATTTTTTCTACGTGTATGGCGACTTGTATACCACTTGAGGGTCATTAGTTGTTTTCAAGCACTAACCATGCTATGATTAATTAGATGGGCCGATCCGAACAGAAAACAAAAAGTTACAAGGAGCCAATCAAAACTCAAAGTTAACCTCTGCAGATCGGGAAGAGGGAAAACCGATGCAATCGTAGATAATTTTTCGTACTCAAAAATGCCTTAGCATTGATCCAAACGATTGTTTAGCCGAGGATTTATATGAAGTATACTTTGTAACGCTGACCATCCTACGCTCAACAATATAAACTAGTCTACTTTGTGGAATTATTCGTAGAAATTATGCATCTAAAATCTTCATTGCGATCTTAAGTTGAATCACCCGTTCTTAATTAACTTTACCACCGAAATCATACAACCTGCATGTTTGGATACTGTACTTTATTCCAAACTAATCATTTGTTCGAAGGTATGACGACTGAGTAGATGCATTCGAAAAGTCCTGGAATTTCATGAGAAGTCATTATAATAACACGATCGTTGTACGTGATTTACTCTAATTATTCAAGTGAAACGACAGAAAGCGAATGCCTTCCCTTTTGTGTTGGTATTAAAAAGACTTTGGATAGAAAGTAAAATCTATGTTCATTTTTAGTAACGGTGAAATTACATGTTATATTAAAGACATATTTTCCAAACACCACCCTTGAGGACCCCCCTGGTTTTTGTTTTGTCAGTCAGTTTGTCCCTCAAGTACATCCCCCTTAGAAACAGGCACTTTTCCTTTCCCACCCTTTCCCCTTGTCTTCCCCAAGCTTCTGTATTTCTTCTCAGGGAAAATCTCCTCGTACAACTCTTCAGTACGATCAATAAGTTTTTCAAGTCGGTTCTCCAGCTTTGAAACCGAATCTTCGTGCAGACCTGTAACGTTTGAGGTGAAGTTGGGGTTGGTAAACACGTTGACGGCCTTGACGCGTGATGCAGCCGTCTCCCAAAGGACCTTGCCTCGACTCTGTGGTCTCTGAGTCTTACCGATTCCCGACCACAGCTTAAAGCGCTCGATGATGAAATCGACGATCTCATACTCGTTCGATTGCTTGTCATTGTCGTGCTTGACGACGATGAACGAGTCCACCACGATGGAAAGGAACATGTTGATGAGCACAAACGACATCATAAACATAAAACCGAAGAAAAATAGAGGACCAAGGACACGATTAGCGTCGCGCATCTCAAAGTATGCAGTCCTCCCCAACATAAGGCTCAACAGAGACGTCAGCGAGGCGATGATGCTGCGGTAGTTATACAGAATGGGTCCGAAGACTAACGACGCGAACATCGTGTAGGCGAGGAAGACGATGCCCCAGACAATGCTGAACATTAGCAGTGGGTAGTAGGCGTACTTAAGAGTGGAGGACAGGAGTGAGAACCGCTTGTTAAACCGGAGGAGTTTGTTCAGTTTGATGTTTGCCAAGAGAACGATCATAGCCAGGATAAACGTGTACGTCTCGTTCCAGTACCCAGCGAACTGAAAGCTCTTGAAGTTGAAAGGGTCGTGCCTCACTAAATCCAGCACATTTCTAATTGTGAGCGTGCGATAAACGTACATTGAAATGGCAGCGAAGGTTAACGCACTGATTCCTATCTCCACACAGTTCCAAAACTCTTTGAGGTAAGCCTGAATGCCCAGTTTGTAAATATGTTTCACCTCGCGATAAAAGAAAAACAACGTGAACAACACAAATATGACCTCGACCGTTAATACGAAGAACATGATGGTCTTGGTGAAGTCGTACAGTCGCGCGGTTTGGATGCTAAGGTACGGAATGGCTGCACCAGTGGCGGGATACTGTGCCACCAGAGTAACAATAGAAAACAGATTACTCTGTGCATTGTAAATTGTGAATTCAGTTAACACAGCGCGTGTACGCCGCTCAATCCACATTTTCTTTTCAAGATCTCTGACACGGTCGAAGTTGTCCCTCCCTGGTTCAAGAACAATTACGTACCTGTGGAAAGAAAATTTACACGAATATATCTTTCTCTAAAGAAAAAAACAATGATGCAACAGTTATTGGTCAAATTCGAAAGGAGAAATGTTTATAAAATTGTCAAATGCAGTAGATATCGTCTTTATGCGGCTCTGAGCAGAAATACTCGTTAACAACTGTGTCTTGTTGGAAAGCCATGAGAGCTTTTCTTTTCACAGTACTGTGGGGAGACACATGGCTCAAAAAGAGCTGATATTTTTCAAGTTCATCATTTGAAATCTGTGTGTATCTCAACTTTATTTAACCCTTGAGCTCTCAGAAGTGATGAACATGTAACTTCTCCCTGTGATATCCATACATTGTCCAGCAAACAGGTAATGAGAATATACTGAATCTTACTCTGTTAATTAATTGGCAATGAAATGTCTAGCAGCTAGAAGGGAGAATTAACAATCAGATCCTTGGAGTTACAGGGTTTACTATAGTTCCCTTGACATACGTCAACACTTGCAGATCATTTGTATAAAATTACTTTTTTTAAATTGCGATTCTCGTGCCGAAAAAAAAAAAACATCAAAATAGAAACGTAAGTCTTTATCTTCAAGAAGAATACGACATTTTTTAATTTCGAGGACATGTTTCGATGTTACGAACATCATCGTTAGTTACAGAATATTGAAAAACCGTTAGGACTATATGACAACTAGGCGAAACATGCATAATTAATTATGATTAAGTGACAAAAATTACATATTTGAGTGAGTAACAAAGTGTTGGAAAGAATATAAAGCCTAAAGCGTAAGCGTCATGTTGACGTGATGAACTTGTTGGTTTAAACTAGGCTTTTCCCGGTTTATGTGCATAGCCTCCTTAAGTTTAACTTGAAATTTAGTAGGGGCGGAATCAAGGATTTCAAAGCAATCCGCAGAGCAAGATTGACGACAACTTTCTGAGTTTTGTAAATGTTTGAAGATATGCGAGGACTTGTCTGAAAAGAGATGTTCACGGACGGGTGTGGAAAAATGACGACCAGTTTCGCCGATCTAGCAAGCATTACAGCAAGCACAAGTAAATTTAAAAACCACACGTGAACGAAGTTCTCTAGGGACAGAATCCCTCACTGAGAAAAGATTTCTTAATTTAAACGTGGTAAACGCTAATTTGATGTCAAGATCATTACAAAAATGACTAACAAGGCGACGTATTTTGTTTTGAGCTACAGTAGAAAAACGGCCTAAATTAGGTAACTTATAAAAGTATTGTTTACCCTGTGAAGTGATATTAGAGGAAAGAGGTGTTTGAGTGGAGCCATTTCGGTCGATGGCTGTGTTCAAACGTAAGTCTCCAAGACTCTGCGTTAATCGCTTTTTCGCCCGGGTGATACGAGTGAATGCAAACTCATCCCGATCGATATTTTATAAGTTTTAGAACAACTTTGTACTCACCCTCCCCCACTGTAAGTGGTCAGAGTGCCCCAGAAGGGGTACCCATCAAGCTGACTGCCGTTTTGATATCTCCATGGCATGTCATCCCAAGACACTGGAGCGTCATATGAAGTAATGTTCTCCCATCTCTCTGTGTAATCATTCTTCTCGTCCTTGGTCACGAAATACTCTCCGTAGCATTCTTTCGTGATGCCATACAACTCGGTTGGAACTCGGCAGGATTCTAGGATCAAACAAGTTATCAATGGTGGATTCAGGTCTCGAGATAAGGGGGGGGGGGTATTTTTGTTTGTATGGGTTCACCTGCCGGCTTTTCTTCACTGCGTTTAATAAAGGGAAAGGGGGGGGGGCGGACGCCCGTGCCCCTTCCCTAGATCCACCATTGGCTATGAGTTCTATGTTCAGCATGGACTTAACACAGGGATGGGGTGTGGCTGGGAGGGAAGGTCATAGTGCGCATGACATCAACTTTCTTTCGGAGTAAACGTTATCGTTTTGCAAAACAAAACAACTTGGCCTGTTGCTTACTGTATGTGGGACGCCAGGGCAGGACCTATTAGCAAGTAAATCTTTGGGAACCGCGCTGGATTCTTAATTCAGAGGTCTGGGTTCCTGCTCTAGCCGGATCATAGTGCTGTATCATTGGCCAAGATAAGTTATCATCACAGTGCTTTTCTGCACCAAGCGAAATAAAAATACCCTGCCGCAAAATGTCAGGGAAAGCTGACGAAATGCATGGAGGCAGCGTGCATTCAGCAGGGCCAGTGGCAATTCACGCAGACGGTTCATGAGCTAGGGTAAATTAAAAATTGTTTCGCACTGACATATAAACAATCAAACAAACAAAAAAAACCAACCTCTTTTTATTCTGATGAGTCTCATCCTTGCCCCTCCCACCATTTGACTGTATCCATCCACCAAAAACCCGTCAGGTTTACGATCTTGACCGTTGTACCACTTCTTGGGGAACAAACTCGTCAGGAGCTCACCTTGAGTCCAATTCCAAAACTCTTTTTCATTGGTTATCTGAGAAAGTGAACAAGATTTCGAAATGATATCATTTATAACGTATAGTGATATAGAAAATAATAGCAGGAAAATTCAGGGAACTGCGAGGTACAAAATGCCTACAAAAAAGGAAACTTTCAAAGCTATGGCTATAATTTATTGTTGTTGTTAATGTGGTGTTGTTGTTGTTGTTTTTTTTCAACTACAGCCTAAATTGCTGTAGATTATTCCCTCTTAAAGAGAATGACATTGAATGCGAATGGTTTCAATTAACTCTGCATAGATCGTACGTAAAGTTCAAAACAAAATGGTAAATCAACAGAAAACCCGTACGCGTACTTGAATAAGCTTTGGGTTCGAAAAGTCTTGAGTTTCCTTTTCCTTCCTTTTCCCTCCTTTTCCCTACAGATTGCTGTGAATGTTTCAATTTTCTTTCTCTTATTTTGCGAGACCGCAGTTGTTACTTACATTTTAAGTGATGTATATTTTGCGCGGGAAATTAGCGCGCGGCCGGCAAGATTTGATCTCCTCGGGCATGCTCGATGTTAACCGCTGTGTTGGGTATATATGTTAATCGTAGCTGAAAATTTGTCTAAATGTTACATGTTTCATAAATTTCGCGTGGAACTCACTTTGGAAAAGTTGTTTCCCATTATGTCGAAGAGGTGTTTCGTCTGGAAATAAGCAGATTGGTTTCGGTGCGTGTAAGCGATCGTTAGCAGCAGGGCGAGAAATATGTAGTAAGTGGCAACCTCGCGGATCACAGAATACATTTTTCGCTCCTTCAATCTCGCCGCTCTCATAGCGATCAGTCTCGCTTCGTCTGGAGGGAAAAGCTTCACTTTCTTTGCCCTTGACCCTCCTGCGTTGGAGCCAGATTGTTGGCCCAGAACTTCTTCATCCTCAGCGAGTTTAAGGGCTTCTTCTGTTATTTGAAATTCACCTTTGTCTGGTTTTTTAACGACCAGAGCAAAGAATACCGCCAAACCTAGCACCTGTTTCAATAGAAAAAGTAAAAAGAAACAGCATTTTACGATTAAACGTCGAATGCAATAAGAAATTACATTGGTTTTTTCCACAAAGGAAAATAAGGTGCGACACTGCTAACGAAATCCTTTTGTGATTTTCCATCAACATGTACCCACACCTTACTTTCATATTTAATTCAATCTCAATCTAATGTACGTCATATTCCTCCATGATTTAACTTACACATGTGTACTACTCTATATTGAGCCCCATCGATCTATAATTTCAGCTTTTCTTTCCAATTCGTCCACGCACTTGCCCAATGAGTGTTTCCCTCTTACGACCGTTATGAATCAACTGTAAGTTATTAAAGGACGAAAAATGCTATGCTGCTTCTCTATAAGGAACCAGTCATTATTAACGCATGGAGGAGGGGTAGAGAATTTTTGGGGAGGATAACGTGGCTTTCACTGGGGAACGGACGGGAAATCAGTCGTCACCAGTAGAATATAAAGGGGTGCTATAGTAAATCGAATGCCAATTGACTGCCGATGTGGAGGGGAGGCGGTCGTAAGAATAATTCTGAGCCTTAAGGGAGGATCAGGTAAATACAACCAAAAGTTTTCCGACCCTTCCTTTTCCCCCCATGGAATGACTGGTCCCTAGGACAAAGCGAACTGGGCTTCCAAGTCGTACCTTGAGGGGTTGAGTGATGAACACATCTTGAACGAAAGACACAGAGGATGAAAATAACCACTGCAGGGACTTTTCGTTTTTAAACTCCATGCCATAAAATACAACCACCGTGGCGGACCCAGTCGAGAAGATGAAAACCAAAAACCATGCCACGTATGCGAAGAAGTAAGGTAAGGTATTCTTCTTCTTGCACCACAACAGCAAGCGGCGTGCACGGGACGTAGGAGCTGGAAAAAAATGGAAATATAATTGAGTATCACCTCGGTGCTGTTGAATTTACCCACTTTCGGCGCCGGTCATAATATGATTCACAACAGCGCGTAAGACGGTGAAAGAATTTAAAGAAATTAAAGACAGTCGAAAAGTGGTATTGATACCAAGATGAACGAGACCGTTGCAGTTGGCTGTATGTAGGCTCTCCGCTGTTCTTGGGAATGTCACGCTTCGCTCCCCCTTGGACGTTGTCGCATGACATCCAACAAACAGGTGCGAGGGAGACTAGGTAAAAGTCAGCCTCACTTGTAACGAGTGGTATCAATTTGAATAGGTGTTTGTAAAAAGTAGCTTACGCTTCACAATATACAGAAGTGCTGTTTTTCTTTCCAACTTTCTAACAACGGCGCAACACTGTTGCAATTTAGAATTAAATTATCTCAAGACATGTACAATAAAAAAGAAGCAAATTCAGTGTGACGGAAACGCCTCTCCTCACCGATCTCGTAAGTAGTACTGAGCCTGCGATCAATCAGCAGTGGGCTGTCAGTAAAACTTGTGCGGTCCACGTCAGGATGCACATCATTAATTGACAGCCGAGTTTTATTGTTCTTGTCTCGTGAAGAATCTAGACTGTTGCTTGATCCCTTAGCAGACTCATCCGACGATTCTTTCAGGTTATTGTAATTGTCGAGGTTGTCCTTGTCAAAGGATAAAGTCGGCAGACATGGTGTGGGGGTGGGGGGAGGCTTTTTCGGCCTGACTCTTGGTTTGGGTCGGACGTTGCGAAAGATCTGTACCACAATCAGGTTGATTGGGAAGACTATGAGACTCGAAATGATCCCAATTAGCACCTGTACCGATTTAATTAAAAATTGACCAATAAATGAGTCTCTTAAAGACAGATTTTAAAATTTTACACCTATTAAGTACCTGTGAATAGTTAACAATACGTTACATTTTGAATGTAGAACTCACCTGATTCCAGGTGAAAACGATGGAGCCAATTTGCTGCGTGCTGGAGGGGTCATCTTGTCGGCTGTAGTACATACCGCTGGTCATCATTGACATGAGCAGAAGACACAGACAACAGGACAACCGCTGTACCCGCGTAAATCGACTGCCGGCTGGACGGGCGAGGACTGAGAACCACAGATGACTGTCACTAAGGTTGCGGCGAGTTCTGGCTGCGAACAGATGACCAAACTCTGTAAGCTCTGCTTTGCTGGCCAGCATAACAAGACGTTCAACCTTAGAAGAGAATTAAAAAAAAAAATAAAAAAGAACAAGTGAGTTTATTCGCATAAAATTCATGAAGGCACATGAAGAGTGTATTCTAAAATGCCACTTCGTTGCAAACAGCTAAACTAGACAAAAAGGTGGACATTCCAGTTCCGGTGCCTTGGGGTCTGAACTTAACTGTCCTGGGTTCCGAGAATTATTGAAAGTGCTGGATAACGAGTTTCGAAGGGAGGATAAAGAAAGGGATATTCAAATCGATCTGGCTGGAAAACTTTTGAAAACTTGATGTTTTCGTTGCTTGGGAAGGGTTTTCGTATAATCGATGACAAAAAAAAAAAAACAAAAGATGTGTAATTAAATAACTGTAAAACAATTTTCAATTTCGTGCCGTAAAGACAATCTCTCCGTGATTGGTTTGTGATCTAATCGGATCGTAGATGAAAACAATCGGGTTTGGACATTTGCGTTTCCTTGCATTAGACTACGGGCCGTTTGGCTCTTCCTAACTGCTTTCCTCAAGGTGTATGACAATCAAAAGGGATTCTTCAAATTAATTTTTGGTCCATCGTGAAATGCTATAAGGAAAGGGTTAACGCAGGTTCTAAAGTCGCGAAAAGCGGCGGAAGAGCGAAAGGGCCTACAAGAGACCGGTTCTTACTGGAATTTAGGGGCATCCCAGGCTGTTTTATCATTATTTTGAATTGTCTCTTTCTTTAAGAAAGACAAGGTTTCATGCACCTTACAACCTTATTTTCACACCAACACCCACCACATCATACCTGGCCATCTTCCTCATCCACAGCCAGCCACCTGTTACAGATGAAGTAAAATCTCTCCTCAGTTTGTAGATCAATCACCATAATTCGACTCAAGAACCACGAGCCACCTGCGTTATCGTGCCACACCCTTATGTACTGAATAGAGCCTAAATCGAAGGGTGTGGTTAGAAGAAACGAGTCCTGGCTGCCACGTTGAAAAGGGTTTCTGTCAGGATCATGCAAAGCGCGGGCCTCGCTGTCCTCTTCGTCACCGTACAGTATAATGCTGACTTTGGACTTAGTGCCAGCATTACGGCGCATGCCCGTCCAGAGAGTCACCTCATAACGGTACGGGTCTGAGGGCTCCTTATCCCGCAGCGGACAAACACCAACCTAAGGGGAAAAAGAAAAATTAGATTCAATTATCATTTTTTGGCGCTGAATTGTAAAGTAACCTTTGAACCTTTTGGGCTTTCTTCTTTCTTTTTTAGGCCAGGCCCAAGAAAAGTGGACTCCTCCATAATACCCATCCGTTGATATGATAATGGTATGTCGTATTTAAAACTGAACGATCATGGCCTGGAGGATGTTATAATAAACAGGCTTTCTCTGAGCATGTATCTTAACGACGAAGGAATCAAAGGAGAGCTTTAGTACAAAAATACGGGATTCATTAAATCAATTTAAAAATGAAAATTCAACAGAACGTAAACCAAAAAATCATCATGATGCAGATTCCCTCGGTCTTCACTTTTTTTTCATTGCAAAAATATTACGGCCTGTTTTTTTTTCCACTGAATATCTGTTGACTTACGCTCGTCTCTCTACCCACCCTACAAACTGCTGCATCCTTTTATTGCCTCCCCCCCGGAAAATCTTTAAAGAAGTAAATACTTACCCTAATGATGTCAGCTCTGTCTTTTCGTCTTACCCAAATAAGGGCTAAGAAATACAGCGCAAAGGTGATGCTGACAAACACCAGCATGGCATATCCATCTTTAAGTTTGGCGAGTGAAGGTGGACCAATAGGGTTGGGTTTTACGTTAAGGGAACCAAAAAAGGTCGCGTGGTTACACCGACAGTTTGTGGCAGCTATTGAAGTATCCTCACCGACCTGACCACAAAAGGACACAAATTATTACTAAACAGTACTCAGGTAACGCGATCGACTGCACTGGATTACATTGGTCTAACAATGGTGATAAAAACTTTTCTCATATCCAGGGCGAGTTTTAACGCCGAGAAAACGACTTGATATAAAGTGGGATCTATTGCTTGATGAGGGGGCATTGGGGCCTCTGGGAAACAGCAAAACCGGAGAAAAAAAACCTCCAAAACCGAAAAAGCGACGAAAAAAGGCAGCAAAACCGAAAACCGCATGCAAACCTGACAAAACCGCTACATTTTCATCTTTAAAGGGGTCAAAAAGGAAAACCGAAAACCACATCAGAGTTTTCGTGAAAACCGAAAACCGAATGCAAAAACAGGTAAAATCCGCAAACCGTTCTGAACATCAAAACCGAAAAACCGAGCCTTTTTGGCCCAAAAACCGGAAAAACCAATCCAAAAAACAGTCAAAACCGCAAAACCGAAAATCCCAAAGGCCCCCCTCCTTAATTATCAAGATACTAAGCTAAGTTATACCTGCATTTTTATTGGTTCCTACTTATGATCTAGTGGAATACAAACGCAGAGATGACTTCACCATTATCAAAATTTCGCTTTCTTATCATATAAAACAAATAGATTTCATGTTGCCGTGGTTCGGCAAAAGATTACAGATGACGTCAAAATGCGGCTAGAACATCAATGGCTCACTTNGACAGTGCCCGGTCCAATACTGAGAGAATATTGACCGGCAATAGAGCATTTTGATTGGTTGAAGTTAGTTATTGACCCTCTGACTGCCCGAGTCGTGTAATAATGTCGAATAATCCCCTCGACTTCGTCTCGGGGATTATTCGACGATATTCACCGAACCTGAGGCGAATAATTGTTAATTATGGCGTGCTCTCCGTTCAGACCCTCTATTCATTCCCCCCCCCCCAGTCTCCTATTCTTTAGATGCAGAAGATAATAATCTTTGACAACTTTGCCCTCACCTTACATCCCAGATCAAGCCATTTATTTTCCTCCATACCCCAATACATACATCGTACGGGATATATGGCCACTGTGTAATTAACACTCACAACACTTGCATTCCCCTCTGCAGGCAGCCTGGGTACCATGACAGTCAAGTTGAAATAGACAGGTCTTGAGGGTAGTTCCCAGGCGATGTAAGTAAAGTTGTCGACTCTTTGAAAAGGTGCAGGGCACTCCTCAACCGGAAACGTTGGAGAGAATCGAAGCTGGTACTCGTGAGATGCTTTTCCTTCAAAAGTGATATGAAGCATGCGAGTCATGGTTGCGTTATCGTCCGATTTTAGGTAAACTAGCAGTGGCGTGTATGGTTGACCGGGTGGAAATTGGAAATGATGACTTTTTTTCGTGGCGGGTGAGAACTGTTCGCTGAAGTAGCTTGACACGCTTTTCAAATCGGTAAGTATGTTGACTTCAAGATCATCAGTGAGGTTTTGTATTTTGATCTCTCTGTTTCCTTGCTTTAGGGTGAAGCCTTGCGTCTTAGTAATGTATGGCGAACTCGTTTCGTCGGATCGGAAAATGTTTGCCATTGAGGAATACTAAAACGAAAGGAAACGGTACAAGATATTAAAATAAAAGTCATAAAAGGGAGAACATTGTGAACGACGCATCCATCCTCTCAACATTTCACTACACCACTATATACCTGCAAGTCAACGGGGTCGTTGTCATTCACATCTTCAAGAACGACATCGGGTCTCGGAAGACGAACAAGCAGCCGCGTGGAATTCTCGACCGTGTATGCAGAACTGTTAAATGATTGTTTACGCAAACGCTTCAACCGAATATCGAACGCCTGTGTTTTTATTTCTGTTTCTCCTTCCTCGGGAACTCTCTTTCTAAGAATTGCACCGCCGACCAGATCCATTGCCTTCAAGATTGTATCCACCACTTTCTTCGATTGTTCGGCTTCCTAAAAAAAAGGCAACGTGAAATGAGTAATTAAACATGAAAGAAAAATTTCGTGCGTGGAGTTTCTTGGACACTATAAGATTTCGAGCGCGCCAGCTCTCTCTAAACCCAGCAAGTCAAAATGGCAGTCGAGACTTTGCGGGAACTTCTTTGTCAAATGGATTTGCTGATGCCAAATTATCAGGATTTCCTTTGAACTGCACCACTGGCCATATATGGCAGAGGCTTTAACAAGATTCGAGAGCGATACGTGCCTGACTAGCGACCAAGCTTTGTTTTTCCATTCCACTTTGCGGGGCTAAAGTTGGTAAGTGGGAGAAGTGAAAACTAACAAATTTTAGCATTCTTCTTACTTGGATGGCTGGATATTTCAAACAACAAGTTTCGTAGAGTGGAACTCCTTTTCTCACCGCCCCGTCGAAGAAAAAGGAAAGCCTAATTGAAGCCTGACACATTCTTCCAACAAGCGCGAAGGTCCGTCACTGATTTTGCAATAAAAGCAGGCTTTGGTTACGTTCTCTACGCTCTGATTGCTATCCAACCTCCGGAAAACAAATAGACCCAAGCATAAGCTTTGTCCCACACGAAGCCCAAAAACCCTTGAGTAATATGTGCATCATCGCGATTTTTTATGGGTTCAAATTCTTATCACTTTCAATCTTTTTGTTCGATTTTAAAACTAAAATTTATGATCAACATACCTCTTCATTTCTGAGAGAATTTAGTCTGACTGACCAGTCACGTGATGGGGGAGCGGTAGTCGGGAAGATGTCCTTGAGAACTGAGCAACGAGAGATTTTGAGTGATTTAGTTCCTTGGCGATTACATTCTGAAAGCGCTCGAATAGTGATTGAAAGCTTACTCATTATTACGAAACCTTTTACCCTTTATACCCTAACATCAGTATGCATATTCTCCATACTGTTCTCTATAGATTTCCTAAGGTGTTGACAAGAAGAATTTGTTTAATAATTAAGAACTTGTTTAGTTGGTGATCATTTCCTTTATTCTCCTGACCTTAATGTGTGATTCAGGGGTGATATTGTAAGGAGAAATTAGATGTTAGTCACTCTTAGGGGGCAAAGGGTTAACCTTTGCAGACCAAAGGTCTAAGATCTTATTCGCCCAACTGATGACCAATAGAAGACTTCTTCTGTGTTTTCAAAGCCTCACCAAAACACAGGCGAGGGGTAGTTAGGAGAATAAGAGACAGCCGTACGAGCTTATGATGCAATCGGAGGTTTACTTGTCAATATTCATCGCCTTTTATCGTGACACACCCAAAACCCTGAAGACCCCCAACTTCCTCAGGCGAGAGATGTTAACCCGTCCTACACTGCTTTTAGGAAGTATTTCTAAGATAAACTGCGAATGGAAAACGCTGAAACTGTGTTTAGACGCTCTCACTCAAACACACCCATCAACCAATGAGAGTGCGCGTTTCTCAGTTAGATTATACTCCTTTGCCATTCACTGATTTTTTTTTTCAGTTCTCGTTAACCGATCTGCCTCACGTCGTATTCATATTGGAATGAGAAATTGCTAGCTGATCACTGCAAAGTGTAAAGTGGTCATTCAATTATCCGAACTGATCAATGTCAAGATCTGAGAAACTACACACCCACCCCTTCCCTAACTCAGTCAAATGATAATAAGTTAGGCTTAATGTTAATTTAGGGAAGGGGTAGGTGCGCAGTTGTTCAGATGCTGATATTGATTCAATCACCAGTAGCGAATCTAGGGGAGGGGCATGGGGGGGCCCGCTCCCCTCCATTTTGGGTAAAAAATAAACTAAGAGGGAAGAAAAGCCGGCAGGTGAATACATACGCCCTCCCTTCCCTCGCTCCCTCCTTAGCTCTACCACTGCCATTGATTACCCTGTGAAAAGATGCCAAGAATTTTTTAGCGATCGAGAGAATTTCTTTCGCACGCAATGGTCTAATTACTGTTTTTGTCTTCTCCATTCTTTTTTTTTTGTGACTCCTTTTTTTTTAATTATCATCACAAAAGATATTCCTTACGCTGAGCAACGTAATCAGCTGTAGTTTCTTTGCTGGCTTCCAACGTGTTCGAGGACGCCGTGTAGATTTCTCGTGCTATTTCTTCTACTTTCACCGCGCCCAGTTTTTTGGCGGATTCCCCTAAGACAGACGCCGCCCCTTTTGCGATTCCTGCAGCTTGATTCTATAAAAAGGGACAAAGAAAAAATGAAGAAACCACTAGAATACAAACGCCATCTTAAATTAATTTTGATGTGTAAATTCAAGGGGATATATCAATGTTGATTAGGGACCAGTCATCTGCTGCTTTTGTCTATGATCCACCACTCATTGGTTGTTGACTGAGGGTCAATATTCTATAGTCCCCTTTACATTCTGTTGGTGACAACTGACCCCCCTTCATTTCCCCTTAAAAACCATGTGACCCCCCCGAAAAAAAAACCTGCCACCCTTTCAGGCTGTCCATTCCTGATAGAAAGAAGTCTGTTCTTCATTCGAAATTAAAAAAATTTGAGTTTTCACCATAGCATAGACACAAACACATTAACGCTTGCCAGGACACGCACATCACAAGCATTGACACAAGCGTAAATAGGACAGCATCGGGCGAAAAGCAGCTCTTACAGCTGTTTCTCTACTATTTTGCATTGCGCACTCAGTTACGCAACAAAGTGATCTGCTACTGAAGACCCAATAAAGGGAATCAAACGATGCTTTTTTAGCCAAATCGAGAACATCTGGGCATAGCTATTCGTATCTTTCAATCTTTCAGTTATTTCCTTCAAGTGTTATCACTTTAAAAGCGAAATGCACAGTAATAATGTCGTGTGCGCGTGAGGGAGTTAATGAGTGAACGGACACACAGATGAACAATAAATGAATAAATGATGAAATGAATCAATTAGACTAGTGCCAGGCAATTGCACTTACCTGAGTCTTCGACGTCACTTCTGTTTTGTCTCTGGTGACTTTTATCAAAGCACCGATGGTCTGTTGAGCCAGGGATGTATCCTTTATATCAACTTCCGCCAGTTTATTGACCAGCTTCGATTTTTTCTGAAAGAAAGGAACAAAATTATCAAGACATCACTATAGAAACTTGGAATAGGTACGTGACGTGAAACGAGCACTTTTCACCGTAGATTGCGTGATGGGGACTGTGTGTGGATACCAGGCTACCATCAGTTGCAGCCTGTGCGCTGTCCCATTTACGGCTCAATGTTTCAAAGGACAAGAACCTAGAATCCTCCCCAGTCCCCCAAGACTACCCTTCCCTTTTCCCAAGTGATTAATAGTGGAACGACCTCCCTTTTTCTACTGACAATGTATCATCTCAAATCCCCTTCAAAAAAACACTTTACATGTAGAACGATTCTTAGCTCAGCACTAACCTGACTTGATTGCAGTGATAGTGTATGAATCTGGGGTTGTGCTTGTGTGTGATGTTCTGTTGTTGTTTTTTATGAAAATATGAGAGCTTTCAAGTTAATGAGTTTGAACTGTACCGTAGACTTCCCTATTCCTGCTCTGCCAGCGTACGTACTGTACTTCCTAATGTGCGTCATCAATACTTACCTCTTTTTAATAACAATGGCAAACTTGTTCCAAGAAATAAGGAGATAAAAAAGTAATCCGAGAAAACACAATGATTTTACG